GCAATTGGTAAGCGATGGAAGAAAATATCGACTGGAAGGAGAGCGTCCAGAATAGGGGCAACATAAGGGAAAAGAGAGATGGTGAGAAAAAAGAGATGAGGAGACAGAGGAGGAAGGGAAGAGGAGAAGCGCGATGTGATGGAAAGGCAGCCTACCCTCTTCCCCCGAGTACAACGTACGGTCATTATAGCTGTATTTGGGGGGGTATGTTTCAGTAGAAATACAGCTTATAATAACCGTGTGTTGTATTCGGGGGAAGGAGGTAGTAAGGGGAGGCCAGAGGAGGGAGGGAGGGAGGGAGGGAGGGACGAAAATGGGAGACAGTTGAGAGGGATGGGAGAGGGAGGAGAGAGAAAACGAGCGGAGGGCGGAGGGATGAAAACAGGACAAGCAACCCAAAGGAGGAGGAGGATGAAATATACACAAGGAGAACGAGAAGTAAAGAAGAAAGCGAAGGAGGGAAGATGAAACAGTTGAGAGGGATATGGGAGAGGGAGGAGGAACCAGCGGTGAAAACGACCAGCAGCAGGCGACCGTGTCAGATACACCAACGCAGAATAAGTATGAAGGGGATCCCCTCGTCCCCATAACATAACGATGAATGCAAAATAGACGAAAGAGATGACCTGGCCCCCATCCGACCAATCCAGAAGACTTCAAGCCCACATCTGCCGACCAATCAAGGACCAACGGGTGCTCAATAAAGACGACGTGGCGCCCAATCAAGGGTGTTATTCCTACCACCAATGAGCAGCCATCCACACCTAATCAAGAGCCCTTCATCGTCTCCACCCCCAGTAATCAAAGTTTTGCCCCTGCCGCCCAACAAGGACGTCCTGCTATCCAATCAAGGACAATTTCCCGCCAAATTTGATATTGCTGGAAAGAAGAAAATAAGAACAATTTCCCGCCAAATTTGATATTGCTGGAAAGAAGAAAATTTGCAAAAGAAATACCTAACAAAATGAAACGGCACGAAAGAATCTGAAGTCATGACCAAGAAGAGAACACCTCCTTGTTTTTTTCATGGCCCCCCGTTTACAAACACTGACCCCCGCCCCCCCCCTTTTCCCCCCTCTTCTACAAACACTTCTTAAGGCATGACGATGTGCGTTAGCATCCATCCCATTTCAGCACAAAGTTTCAAATCCACGCTGGTAGTAGTTAATCCTCGAAAACCCAAACTGCAAAGGGGAAGTTTTGCATTTTGCAACAAAAAAAAAAAAAAAAAGTTTTGCATTTTGCATTATTCGCCGTCGTCACCAGGATGACCAGCCAAACAAAAAAAAAGCACCATCGAATCACACAGATCTCTAAGGAGCGAGCGAAAAAAAAAAAAAAAAACGACCCAGAAAATTTGAGCCGCAAGAATAACAACAACAAAATTCAAAATTGAGCCTAAACCAAAGAAAAAAGAGCCATGGATTTGTTTCTATTCTTACTGTTAGAGAATCTTTTTTATTTGCGCAGGTGTCGTGTCTGTAATCTGATTTCAAACCGTTTGGCCCGTGTCAAAAAAAAAAAAAAAAAAAAAAAAAAAAAAGCCAACCCGCTTCCGATATCTCGCCGCCCGAAGACCATCCATCCATATTTCTCCGATACAGGACAGTTCGACGAGCTTGGGTTTATGGTTTTTTTCTCTGCACATATTTATGCAACATTTTCACCAGAAGAAAAATTGGACTCGTCTTTTTTGAAGTTTTTTTCACAGAAATATTATCGGTTATTACAACATAAGAAGAAGAATAGTGGAAAACAGTCTCCTTTTTTTTTTTTTTTTTTTTTTACAAAATGTACTTTCCTTATGAAAAACAGTTCGAGGCCGGGGACCTCACAATTCAACCCGGGGTACTGACAGCATCAGCCAGCTTCGCTTACAGGCTTGCGCCTGCGGAAAGTCTCTAACTGCGACCTTCCAGAATCCTACTGCGTAATTCTTATCACACTTAATCTCGAATTTTGTAGTAGAAAACACGACCCGATCATACAACTCAACCGTAAGCCTGATAAGCCAGAGTTCTTCAGCACCTTTACTACCTTCTATGCTGTTCCAAGTACCTACTTCTGGGACTAACTTCCACTCATGACACGCTTTAAAAGAAGAAATTTGAAGACAATTCAGAAACGGGAAGAGAATTTACAATATATATAGATATATCGTCACAATAATATATATATTTGACGATATATGTATATATGTACGCAAGAGGTTCTGAACAGGGGGAGTTGTAAGGAAGAAGATATAAAAAAACGAATTCATTCTTTTTTCTTTTTTCTTTTTTCTTTCGGTTTTGCGCTCTCATATCCGTGTGATGATATATATCGTCAAACAGAGCTGCCGACGGTAAACCGTAGGCAGACAGGGAGAAGGGAGAAGAGGACAACAAACGACGGGGGCCTGTGACAAACTGTTTCGTCGGAGTTTCACCTATCTATCTACTCATCAGGAGGAGGCTGAACCCTCAAAAACAATCTGCGGAATCCCCTACCTAACTCATTATGATTACACTGGGAGTGTTATAATCCACCTTAACCCCGGGGTTATATCTCTGATGTTAACCGGCTGAGTATTCAATTTAATAAAAAAATAAAAAATCGAAAACCGTTTTTTTTTTTTTTTGTGTTAGAAATAGAGATAGCAGTAGTGCTAGGTCGAGATTACCGTTTCCATGCCCAACTAGGACTACCTTCTTCCCCCGAATACAACGTACGGTCATTATATCTGTATCTAGCCTGAAAGATGCCCCAAATACGGCTATCATGACCGTACGTTGTATTCGGCGGAAGTAGGACTAGTATTAGATAGGTAATTAACATCTAACGGGTGAGTCTCTGTTTTTTCCTGGAATAGCTGAGTACGCTGAGTGAAGAAACCAAGATAGAAACTTCACAATATGTTTGAAGTGGTATTGCAGTGCACGGTCGTCACCGATCAAGAGAACTGTTATCCGTCGAACTATCGGTAATCTGCTACGGTAACTTCTATCGGTAATCTGCTACGGTAACTTCTATCGGTAATCTGCTACAGTAACTTGTATCGGTAATCTGCTACGGTAACTTCTATCGGTAACTTCTATCGGTAATCTGCTACGATAACTTCTATCGGTAATTTGCTACGGTAACCTCCCATTGACCGTGCATTGATAACTTCTATCGGTAATACCTGAGAGACTCCAGTGCACGGTCAATGGGAGGTTACCGTAGCAGATTACCGATAGAAGTAAGAAGAATTGACTTGAGAATATAGTGTCTGGAATTACTGGACTGGTAGGGAACTGGAGACTCTCAGTCGAAAGACGGTAAGTAAAAAAAAAAAAAAAAGACGGTAAGCGAAACTGGCTGATGCTGCCAGGAAAGAACTTGAGAATGAATGGTTGAATTGTGAGGTCCGCGGCCTCGGCGAATTTTTTTGGAATAGATGTGTTTTGGGAAAAAGAGAAAAAAAGAGAAAAAACGGTATTCGATGCACTGAGAAAAGACACTGCTAGACTTCGAAAACATACTTAGTAGAATTCGAACTTGTACCTTTTCTCGGCCTTTTGGCTAAGATCAAGTGTAGTATCTGTTCTGATCAGTGGTCCATCGGACCACACGATATTGAATTAATAAATAAAAAAAAGAAAACACGATTAAAAAAAAAAAAGAATTCGAACTTGTACCCTACCGTAGGCGCCAACGCGAAAATTTCATCGCTCATTGGGGATGACATAGCAGCCAGTGGCGTTGACAGCTTTTTTTTCTTTTCTTTTTTTTTTTTTTTTGTTGGCACGTTTTCTATGCACACAATTTCGCGCTCAGAAAATTACCGAAATACGTAAATCGAAAAACCTTTCAAATTACAAAAACAATTCAAAATTGAAAACTTAACCCTTTTCAACCCGTTAGGCAATCGAAATCACCGCTATGGGGATGGACACATGGTACTACGGTCGTCATTTTTTTTTTTGTTTCCTTTTTTTGTTTTGTTTTCCTGGTACAAAAGCCATCATGCTAATCGTCGTCTATGTATCTTTCCAATTTTAACGGATGACTGGAAGAACGCTTACCTTGTTTGGCTTTGATTAAATTAGTATTAAAATAGTAATTCCCACGGAAACGACGAAAAGTATTAAAAAAGACAAACAAACAAACAAAAAAAAAAAAAAAAAAAGAAGGACGTCCACGGGCTTGTCCGTGCGTACACATCCAAGTAAAAATGCTCCATTTTTTGCGCTATGGCTATCATCAGAGCCTTTCCCGAATCGTATTGGGCGACATTGTGCGGAGAGAGACGATACCGGCGATGCCGTGCAGCGAGAGACGTGGATCGACATCGTGCGGCAAGAGACGATGCACCAGCTAGCGCCTCGCTCCACCACCTGTTCCACCGAATAAGAGAGAGAGAGAGAGAGAGAGAGAGAGAGAGAGAGAGAGAGAGAGCACCTGTTCCACCGAATAAGAGAGAGAGAGAGAGAGAGAGAGAGAGAGCACCTGTTCCACCGAATGAGAGAGAGAGAGAGAGAGCACCTGTTCCACCGAATAAGAAAGAGAGAGAGAGAGAGAGAGAGAGAGAGAGAGAATGGCGCGAGGGTATCCCTCCCTCCGTCGTTGTAGCTAAACATTACACTGGCTCACCCATTTAACACATTTAGTGAATACAGCGCAGCAAGGGCTTAATTTGCATGAAGCAAAAGACGGACTACGGAGCATAGGAGAAGGCTTTCGTCCCCACAGCGCAATCTCTCTCTCTCTCTCTCTCTCTCTCTCTCTCTCTCTCTCTCTCTCTCTCTCTCTCTCTCTCTCTCTCTCTCTCTCTCTCTCTCTCTCTTCATTTGGTCCTCACTCCACTAGTCGGCAAATGTGAAAACTGGGCGACTACATCTTTCCACTTTTGAACGGAAGTATACAGCCGCCAGCTTTCACATTTGGCGAGTAGTGGAGGGAAGTCCTTTTGTCCCGCAGCGAGCGGCTTCTTCTCTCCTTACAGCGACCGCTGCCCTTTGCGACCGCCATCTCCTCACCTCGTTGTCTTGCGGTTTTTGCCACTTCTCCTCGATGTCATCGCCATAGCCGCGAGGTGAGGTGAGGAGATGGCGATGACATCGAGGAGGAGTGCCAGTTCTCGTCGTCTCGCAGTTTTTGCCACTTCTCCTCGATGCCATCGCCATCACCATAGCCGCGCTTTCGAGCACGTATTGTGGGGTTGCGCAACCGGCGTCAACTGGAACTACCGTCTTCAACCGAATAGAACGCCCGGTCACAATCGCTGTATCTCGACTGAAAGTTGACCCAAATACAAACTTTACTGACCAGGCGTTCTGTTCGGGTGAAGATAGGAGCGCGCACCATTAAAGGAGGCAAATCAATCACAGATCAACCAGAGAAACGCCGACTCGGAGTCGATTAAAGTATGACCATCACACGAAAAAAACACAATCATCTATATATAATATCACTATCAGTCACTAACGCCTGCCATAAGAAGCCAAGACTACAATCAACACAGACAAGAACAGGCAAATCCATCAGAGACTGCGCCTGGTGTGTGTGTGTGTGTGTGTGTGTGTGTGTGTGTGCGCGGCCGACCCAAATGTCAGCGAATCGGCCGCCCCGCCAAAAGTAAACAATCAACAGCCGCTCCTCATCATCCCCCACCTCCCAATTATTCGTTCGTAAGAACATAATAAACTAGAATAAAAATCCCAGCCCAGCGTGGCACAAATGGGGCCAGCCAGCCGTCCGACGCTGCCCGGGCCTTACCTCCTGAATGAACTGGGCCGTCCTCCGCGGTTAGATGCACTGAGAGTTCTTTCCCTACCTTATGTACAATTCCCCCGCTCATTAGAAATGGCTAATTAGTGCAAGTGCGGCCGATGCACTGCGTTCTTAGTGCCAGTGCAACCGATGCACTGAGTTCTTTTCTTGCCTACGAAAGCCTCTGACCCCCCCCCTCCATTCCATACGCTCCCATCCTCAATTCGCCTCCCCCCTCCCGACCTTTCCATGCCCCTCCCAAGCCAGCTGAACGGATCGAAGCCAAGCGTACATAAATGGACGAGTACGGAGCTCGGTGGCCGCCACCGCCGCACAATTCGCCTCCCCCTCCCCGCTTCCGCGCCCCTCCCAAGCCAGCTCAACCCCACTACCACGTCGGCATTGCCTCGAGAGTCCGTTATTGGATCTGATGATCAAAGAAGTCATCATCAGGAACGGGTGACAGCCCTCCTTTGTCGCACAGTGGCCTCATGGTACACCGACCGGTCGTCCCTAGATCTGATGATCATAGAACTCATCCTCGGGAAGGGGCGACACCCCTCCTTCGTCGCACATTTGTCAATTGGTACTTTGAGCGATGCCCATCTCCGCGTCTGCGGCCATGGGCTCGTCGGCATTGCCTCGAGCGTCCGTTATTGGACCTGATGATCATAGAAGTCATCATCAGGAACGGGTGACAGCCCTCCTTTGTCGCACACTGGCCTCATGGTACACTGACCGGTCGTCCCTAGATCTGATGATCATAGAAGTCATCCTCCGGAAGAGGCGACACCCCTCCTTTGTCGCACACTTGTCTCATGGTACTTTGAGCGACGCCCATCTCCGCGTCTGCGGCCATGAGCTCGGCACATATCTGCCCCGTCACTCTCCCCGATCTTGTGACCGTCGATTCCAACACTTTCAACCGCTGAAACATCGCATCGGTTTCTCTTTCTAGAGTGGAGACTGTCTCCCTATGCTTGAGGTCCCTCTCCCCGACATCTGCCATCAACGCCTCCATTTTGCTTTCCTCCTCTCGATGCAACGGTACGATCTGCTTCAGCACGTCCTTGATCAACGGCAGCAGCTCTTCCATCCCGGGAAAGCCGACCACGCGACCATCTCCTTCCGTCACTAGCAGCTCTCCTCCGTCGGAGTCATCCTGCGTCCCGACAGACCGGCTCTCCCTGTTGTTTCTTTGATGATCCCTCCCGCCAAGAAGACAATCATCATCATCGTCCTCATCCTGAAACATGATGGGCAGCGTTTCTCCCGCGAGAGAGGTAAAATAGTCGTCGAAACTGAAAGATCCATTCAGCCATGGAATCTTCGAAGTACTGCTCCCCTGCAGCTGCTTCCTCTTCGAGTCCATCCCACTCGCCCGCTACTTGCGCGCTTGACTTCTTGATTGATTGAGTGATTGAGTGAGTGAGTGAGTGAGTGAGTGAGTGATTGATTGATTGATTGATTGATTGAATGAATGAATGATCGCTGGTGTATCCACGGCTATCACTTGCCCACTACCTGAACTGCAACACCGTCATCGCGATAGCACGGAGGATGAGAGGGAAGAGGGAAGAGGGAAGAGGGAGGAGGGGACAGAAGAAGGACAGGAGGGGACGAAAGAAGCAGGAAAGGAGAGAAGAGGGAGGAGGAGGAGAACAACGATGGTTGTCGTCGAGATACACGTTTTTGACTTCGCTATATCTCACTCGACAATGGGTCGAGAGCGCTGCTGAATAGATCTTAAGAAACACAACGTCACGGCTACTTACTGTATGTTTGTACCATCGACGTGCACGTGCACGTGCACGTCGACCCGGAAGCACATCGGCAGTCTTTACAGTGTGGCAACGCGGCGTGTGCGACTGTGCGACAGTCAGTCTCTCAACCACTGCGCCAGAGTAGCAAGCACTTCACAGCAACAAGGAGTAGACTTTCTCTCCTTTTCTCAGTACGTCGGTTGTGTGCCAGTCAGCTCCTACGTGGCGGCACCCATTTGAACTCCTCCATGTTTACAAGAGGCCGGCCCTCTCTCCTCCTTCCTGTTCACAAGCGGGCGGGTCTCACTCATCACTATGTGTCCTCGGACGTGCGGCGGGACGTTCCCCGTATTCCGTTCTGCGCAGGCCGCAGGGTTTAGCGGAGGCAGCGGGGGCGTTCGTCATGGAATCTGTGCGGGATATGACAGTCCTGCAGGCTGCATCATGGCACACGTCGGCCGACCGACCACGTCGGATTCCGCCGAAGCTGCGAACGCCCTCGCCGTTCCCCTCCGACTCCAAACATCCCGCCGTCGGGAGCTCGATACCACCAGGTTTTGCTACCGAGCCTGTTTTTTCGGTCGCTAACTTCGCGGCGAGCTGAGTTGTGCCGAGCCTGAAGGAGGCTCGTGGTCCACAGGCTCAGGCCCTCGTTCCACACCACTTGAATTCCAGAGCGATGCAAAAAATCATCGTTCCACACCCCCCCCCCTTAGCGCGGCCTGTTTTGTTTCCACTTTTTTGCGTCCCAAGGGCGGCACAGCCAAAATCACCCTTGAATTCAAGTCCCCTCCTGGAGGTCACTTGAGTTCAAGAGCACACCCTTTGGACAGCCGCGGAAACCGGGTATTTTGTTCGTTTGCACATTTTCGTCTGTTCCTGGTTCATTGCTGGTTTTTTTTGGGCGTCCATGCGCAGAACAGCATACAGTCCAGTGGTGGTGTGGGACCACTGGGTGGTTGTTTTGACAGCAGCCTGAAGACGTTCTCAAGAAAGTTCGCGGGGGTGTGGGACCACTGGGTGGTTGTTTTGACGGGCTGGGGGAAACTTTTCGCTGGCTTGGCTAGGCCCATTCAGGCACGTATGAAAGGGTAACTGGCCTCTGAGGGGCTTTTTTCGTCGTTGCTTGATCTTTTGTTAGATTTCTCCCCTTTTTTTTTTTTTTTTTTTTTTTTTTTTTTTTTTTTTTTTTTTTTTTTTTTTTTTTTTTTTTTTTTTTTTCCCTTTCTTTTCCTTTTTCTTATTTTTTCCAAAAACTTTCCCGAATATCTGTATGGGTCTGCTCTGGACCGCCTGTTGGTTAACAGGTGGCTACATAGGAAGTTGGCATCAGTGCTGTGCCGGGGGACTGAATTTCGCTGCTTCTAGAGGAATCACTGGTTTTATTCTTCTCCCCGTCTGTGATCTTGGTACCTCTGACTCTTTTCTGTCTATATTCATTTTTTCTTTTCTGCTCATACCTTGCTCAGGAAGCTCGTGGTCTTCCGTGG